TTACTTTCTGTTGATTGATGGTTTAGACAACACTTCTTTTCTGTAGGAATACTCTGTTCTTTTGATCTGTGAAGATTTGCCATGTCTTATCTGCAATACAAGTCACACCAGGTGTAACAAGTGAATAGTTACAGGGTTTCTCGGTTCTTCCTCTCCATACACTAGTTTTTTTAATATGGCTGCAGCAAGCAAGACTAGAAATATGCTTGAAGGTTTTGTAAAAGATGGATCTTTTAAATGGTTACTTGGGAAGCGGACTTACTTTGATGAAGACTTTGAGGAAATGGGAAGTTCACCTTATGCTAATAGTAACTGGATCGCAGAGCTATCTCCACTTGCTAATGTGGTCGTTCGTAGATGTTCCAAGTAAGTGCAGAACTTCTCTTTCCCTCTCTGTTCTGCTCTTAGCGATGGGGTTCTCCAATCTATAGCCAAGTAAAGATACCCCCTTGCTGTTAAGCTTTCGTTGTTGATAATCTAGCTGTTAGTGGGAGATGTAAACCCATGTTTCCTCTACTTGTATTTTTGTCTCCTGATGGATGCTGCAGAATCCTTGAAACTTCACCAACCGGCCTCCAAGAAAGTTTCAATGCAGAAGCTTCTGATTCCATAAAACACCCATCTCGCTATGCCAGGAACTTCTTGGAATACTGTTGCTTCAGGACACTGGCTGTGTCCATCCAGGTAGTAGGTCACCTGGGTGATAAGAAGTTCCGGCGATTGGCATATGATATGATGTTAGCTTGGGAGGCTCCAGCTGCTTCCAGTCAACCCCTTCCTAATGTAAGCTTCAACACTTAAGGTGTACTTAAGAGTGCTTATCTTTTGGCATGCTGTAACTGCACTTGTGGAAACTTTGTCAATTTATGTACATCATCTTATGCATAGGCATCTATTAGATTCAAGTGAGCATACTGAAACACAAAATAGGTGTAGTTCTTATATTAAGTAATAAGCGTTACTGTGGAATCTTGAGTTCTTCTTTAAAGCTTTAGATCCTTGGAGTAGTGGTGGACTTTATTGGTCAAGGTAGGCCACGACAAACAAAGCACACAATGACAATGTAAAGTAATGTAGACGAAAGCATTTCAACTATTGGGGGGAACAAAATCCAACACAAGCAGGCAGTTAACGATTGATACTTTGAACTATTTGATACTCTAGCAAAAGTTTGTGATCCTTATCTTCAGCTTCTACATTTACACAAATGATTTCTCTCGCCTCATATTTTGTTTCACCTGAATTCTCTTCATCCTCAGTTAGTGTAGGGGTAGTGTGGGATCCACGAATACCTCAAATAGATAGCTGTTTCTTCGGGATCACTGAAAATGAATGGAGTAGTAATTGTAATTTACTCCAGGTCCTTCATAAAGAAAGATATATGATAATCCAAAAGAATTGGCTTCAGGCCATCCTACAATTTTTACATCCTGACATTAATATATACACACAAAGATCCTTCGTATTGGCCAAGTATTATAGGTTTCTGTTCATCAAACTATGATGACTTAAGTTAATGTTCCTACAATCTGATGGGTAGAACATGGTACCAATTATTTACGATGACTTAAGTTAATGTAGGTTCTGAACTGGCAGGAAGGGCACATGTTTCCTACAATTTGATTGGTAAATATGATACAAATGGGCTGATGACCGGGAGGAGACTGAAAGCAGACAGGACTTTAAATAAAATGGAAAGCTAGACAGAGATTTGTTTGGGAGCGAAAGTAGGAATTAGTACTAGTATCTGGAGAATAATGCCACATGAAACAGATAGTTGCAACTTGCAAGAAACAGCAAATGTGGAAAAGGAGACTGCATGTGACTGTCACTGTTGCAATAGCCCTTGGAGAATTGTAGTATGTTTTCAGCATTGCAAATGCAAATGACTCTAGGGCATATTTCACTCTAATCAATAACTCAACTTTCTTTGATGCTGTACTTGTACAATATACTAGTAGCAGGCATCTTACTGTCCAAAAGTCCTGAAGCAGACTCTTCTCAGCTCTGACTATGGTGCTGATTGTGACTTGCATATGATGTTCTAAATAAACAGGAATATTTGTACTTCGCATGAGCAGTAGCAGCATTTTATTGATGTCCTTACTCTAGTGAGCCTTAATATGAATGCGGAACATTTTGAAATGTGATATATGGTTTCATGTGTTGTTTCATCTCTCTTCTCCGCTCTCTCCCAGACTTAATGCCCATGAATTTGCTTGGTGTTTTTAAACTCTGGGCTCATGTGTATTCTCCAGAAAGTTTACATTACAGAGCCCTTAGTACTCTGTTGTTCTAACTGTCGATCTAAGTTTTAGTTGCTCTTTGTCTCTTAGGCAGATGAAGACCCTACAGTTGGGCTTGATGCCTTCTCACGGATAGCTCCAGCAGTTCCGCTAATCGCTAATGTTGTTATAAGTGAAAATCTCTTTCAAGTGCTGACTGTGTCAACTGATGACCGACTTCAGTTTTCTATCTTTGACAAGTACCTAAGTGGATTGGAAAGGTACCTATATTGTTTTAATATTGATTCTATCACTTCTTAGTTTCTGTACGTATTGTCACTTGTTGAACCGATTTAAGTAACTGCACTCCCTGAGGAGGCTTGGAGGAGGAGGACCTGAAAGCAAAGCATTTCCCCCTTTCGCAATATATGGATTTCCTGTAGCGTATTGCTGCTTGCTGCTACTGATTTTGCTAATGTTGCACTTCACGGAAACACAATTTTTTATTCTTCGAAACATTCTTCCTCACAGAGCAGTAAAGAGAATGAAATCCCAATCGGATTCATCACTTCTTGCTGACGTGCGATCTGCAAAAAGAGAGAGGATTCTAGAAGTAGATGGAACAGTAACCACCCAACCAGTTCTTGAACATGTTGGCGTATCTACTTGGCCTGGTAAGTTTGGAACCTGACTAAATCCTATTATATTGTGACTTTTATAAAAGAAAACACAGAGTAGTACTTGGTAATTTGTCATCTTTATTTTCATGTGCATGCAGGTCGTTTAACTCTTACAGATCATGCTTTGTACTTTGAAGCTCTTCGTGTTGTATCCTATGAGACACCGAAAGTATATGACCTTTCAGAAGACTTGAAGCAAGTTGTTAAACCTGAATTAACTGGACCATGGGGGACTCGACTCTTTGACAAAGCAGTTTTCTACAGTTCTAATTCATTGTAAGTTATGCTTTGGCTACTTCATTGGTGTGGAAAATAGCGGATTTTAAAGTGCGCAAGGTTCCTACTTCTGCAAAAGCCTTCAGGTACTGTAGCAGGCACTGACTTTTGAATTGGGTTTGCTTGTAGATCAGAACCTGCTATTCTAGAGTTCCCTGAGCTTAAAGGACATACTCGCCGTGACTATTGGCTTGCAATTATCCGTGAAATTTTACTGGTCCACAAATTCATAAAAAAGTTTCAGATCTTAGGAGTTACAAGGGATGAGGCTCTTTCAAAGGCTGTGCTTGGAATTTTGCGATTACAAGCCATTCAAGAACTTAGTTCTGTAGATTTGGTCTGCCATGACGATATTCTCATGTTTAATCTGTGTGAACAACTCCCCGGAGGGGATCTAATACTAAGAACTCTGGCAAATATGTCCTTGGTAGAGCTATCTAACCAACATAAGCATGGAGGCAGAATGTACTCAGCCTCGTCGTTGGCGATGGTTTCTGGTTTGGGATTTGTTTTTGGTACCACTTCAAGTGATCCTAATGTGACGGCACTTGTTGTTGGTGAGGTAGCTGTTGGTGAGATGGGCTGTTTGGAAAAGTCAGTTAGGGAATCAAAGGACAGCTATAAAAAAGTGGTTGTAGCTCAAGCAACAGTGGACGGGGTTAAAGTTGACGGCCTTGACACTAATCTGGCCGTCATGAAGGTGAGGCCAGCTGTACTTTTACTATCTGTTTTTTTTTCTTAATAAAATGGTTAAATCTGTTATTTTTTAACATTATCAGAAATAAATTTGCATGATCATATTGTTACTAGGGTTTCCCATCAAATTGCATATCCAAGGTTATTAGATAATGTCCTGTGGCATTTTCTTCTTCTATCGTATATGTCTTCAAAGGACTTGTGATCATATGTTTGCAGGACATTCTGCTCCCAGTTTTGGAAGTTGGGAAATGGCTTCTTTCCTTGTTGTATTGGGATGCCCCAAAGAAGTCCTTCTTGTTCTGCTTGTTTTTTTCTTATGTCATCTGGAGGTAAGTTTTCATTCTTTTGACATAATTGTTGACTCCTAAAATCGGGATATATGCTGTTGGCAAAGTCAATGCTTTTCACCATCGCTATAATAGACTTCTCAGATGGTTGGGTGGTTCACTCTCTAGATCATTGGATATGCCAAGACAGTACTGAGATATGTTGAAGGGTAATAAAAGTGTGATATGGCTTTGGGGATTCCGAGTTAGGCAGACAGAAGTCTTTTTGTGTTTGGCTCACATGTTCCAGTAAGCTGTGCATTCGCCCAATCTCCTTTTAAGAATGATGTGAAATGAAGGTTAGTACATTCAGCCACAGTATATGGCAAAACAATTCAGAATCAGAACTGAGGTGAGCAGAAAGTTGCTTTCATGTTTAGTTCTTTGAGGAGCAGATCTGCAAGATGTCGCCTGGTCACAAGTGAGCTGGTAGCAGTTTCTGTTAACTGGCATCCGAATTCCGAGTGCTGCTAGAGATTTCATAATTTCTTCTTTGCTAGGGTACCTTTAACCATCATAGTAGAGAGTAAGCAGCCTTACTGTTGGTGGTAACCTATAGAGTCTGGTTGAGTCATTTGCTTCTCAGTCATCAAGTGAAGTTGTCAAAACTGTCTGCTTAATGGCCGCCTCAACTCCCCTGTATTTTCTCCTGGGTTCCTAAAAGTTTCTCGCTTTACTTAGCTTTGTTATAGTGTTTCCTGGGTCAGATCCAAACCTATTGCAGAAATATACTAAACGTACATCTTTTAGTGGCTGTACTCTGAAAAGATTATCATTTTGTCTTAAAATGGCGATGCATTGGTGTCTGTCTCAGTATACGTGCATCGGTTCCATAAATTTGAGCTCCTCAATGATTATGTTGTCAAGAAAATATTAAGCTAGTTAGGGATGTAATAGAATGGAGAAGGAGCTGTTCCACTAACACAGTTGTTGTGCTTCAGGGACTGGTTGGGCTATGCTTCCGGACTGATGTTCGCTTCCCTGGCTGTGTTTATGTTGCTTACTCGGTTTCTCAACCGAGGGCAGCCGGTCAATGAACTGAAGGTAATAGCACCACCACCAATGAACACAATGGAACAGCTTCTCGCTGTCCAGAACGCGATTTCCCAGGTGGAGCAGCTGATCCAGGATGGCAACATTGGCCTACTAAAAGTCCGAGCTCTACTGCTTTCCGTCTTTCCTCAGGCGAGCGATAAGTTTGCAGCAGCGCTGTTGGGGATGGGGTTAGTGCTGGCCATCATGCCATTGAAGTTGGTACTTCTGTTGGGTTTCCTGGAGGTGTCCACGAGGCACTCGCCGTCAAGAAAAGAAAGCTCGGAGAGATGTGCGAGGAGAATGAGGGAATGGTGGTTCAGCATACCGGCCGCGCCCGTCGTACTTGACAGAGACAAGGATGACAAGAAAAAGAAGTAGGCGTGACGTGATATGAGCTAAAACCTTGATTACTTTCTGTCAGTGTACTTACATGTACAGGGACACTTGTGAGTAGAACCTTTTTGTAACTGTAAATCTCAACAGGGATAAATGAGAGAGAATAGCTACAAGAAAAGTCTATCCACTCACACGCGTCTATTTATTCCATTGCCCCGTTCAGGGTCCAACTTTGGGACGTACAGGACGAATGATGTACCCACCAGTTCGGCCACAAAATAGCAAACTCCACGCTTGGCCGTGTCTTGGAAGCTGGCGTATTCTCGTGAAGGTCCTAGTTGATTTTTCTCAACCCCTGCGATCCCAAACCATGGCGAGAAATGATGAGACTGGTGGCTTTTGGATTCGATTTAAATATGAATACCTCCCAAGTTTTTGCTTTAACTGCGGTCGTGTGGGACATGCTCGCCAAAGCTGCAACTTTGATCCTTCGTCAAGAAAAGAGCGGTTTGGTCCCCATATGTTGACTGAAAATATGGGGAGGAAAATCTTTGATGATGACGGGTCTTCTCAGCAATCTCGCAGGAATTCGGTCTGGGTCAACACGGCCGCTCGTGGGGAGAAGGCGACTATGGCTGGTGAGGGCTTTGGTACGCGCCAGCAGGGGGATGTAGCTCCGGCTGTGAACAGGCCGCGCGCTGTCATGAGTAGTCCGTTATGGATGGGTACCTCGACGAGACCTTTCATCACTATTGAAGTTCAAGATCGGCCAGGGAGAAGCCCTTTGAAATTCCCGGTTGCTAAGGCCCCCAAAATTGTCGTGGGAAGGCCAGCCCGCCGCGGTAAGGCAAGAAAAGGGAGGGCTATCAGCCCAATGGAGATTGATGGCGGCCTAAATGAGCCCCGTGCTCAGGCCCGTTGAATGACAAAGTCGAAGAACACGTGGAGGCCAAACCGATTCGTGTTGCACGGAAGGTAGGCAGCCGACCAGTGGGAGAGCCCAGCTCTCTAAGGGCGCCGGTCAATGAAGAAGCAGGGATGCCAAGGCGGAGACGTCTGCTCTTGGAGGAAGAGTCTGAAGAGGAGTTCATGGTTAGCGACGTCCCCCCGCCAGTGCAAATGAGGGTTGCGCCAAAAGAGGACCGCCCGTCCTTGATAAGCCAACTGGTGGTGGAGGCGGTGCCGTTGAGGCAGCTCGCTCCAGACCCAGATTGCATGCATGAATTGCACAATTATCTCAGGGAGAAACAGTCCAAGTGCTGGGCGGTTGACTCATGGCGAGATGCGAGTGGGAAGGGGAAAAATGTTCCGCCATCACCTCCTGTTATTATGGAAAAAAGGGAATTAAGGAATCCATGCTGGGCCCAAAATCCCCAATGCCCGAGTCTTGGGGTTCGGAGGACACAGCCTCGGAGGGCGAGGGTCTGACATTTGAGGTTCGGCGTCGGGAGCCACAGGTGAGAGGGAGCTTAAAACGCTTGGTCCGCTCAAACCGGGTGCACCAAGTGGTTCAAGCATTTGAGAAAGGATTGGCTATGAAGGAGCCGGACCCTGTGATGAGCTCGTCCCCTCAGCAACTTTCGGTATCTACTAAAGCATTCGATATCAATGAATATGGGACCAATATTTTGGCCCAAGAGTTGGGGAATAAAAAACGCCATCTAGACGAACTTGATGGTGAGGTCGCAGAAACCCCAACTCCAAAGAAACAGTTCGTGGAAGACAAAGATGACGCTGATAAGGTGGAGAAAGCCAGCCTGGAGTGGCCTCACCCAGATAAATGAGGCTATTGGCCTGGAATGTGAGAGGCATTGGACCATGCCTCACATTCCAAACTGTTGTTGGTTTAGTTCATCAAATAAACCGGATCTCCTGTTTTTCTCTGAAACATGATCGAGACGGAGAGTAGTTTCCCGTCGTATGCGGGGGTTAGGTTTTCATTCTTCTTGTTGTTTCTTTGTTGATGCGGTTGATGCATCTGGTGGCTTGGTTGTGGCTTGGTCCCCCGAAGTAAATGCTTCGGTGTTTTATCATTCGAATTTTTGTATTTGTGTTCGAGTTAATGAAATAAAATTTTCATATGTTGCGATTTTTGTCTACATCAGTTGTCATGTGGCAATAAGATCTACTTAGCTGGATCAGCTCCAGGAAATTTGTAATGGCATCCCTGGGCCTTTTGTTATCATTGGTGATTTCAATACTACTCTGCATGAGAGTGAGAAGGATGGGGGTAACCAATGGAATGCAATGCAATCCCTTAGCCTCCGTAATTTTGTTCATAACTGGGTCTCATTGACCCGGGGTATCAGGGGGATCCTTTCACTTGGACGAACAAACGAATGGGGCCGGCATGTATTCGGGAGAGGCTGGATAGGGCATTGTGCTCCCAATCTTGGCTTGAAAGCTTCCCTGAGACTCTGATTAAACACTTCACGGATCAGGGGTCGGACCATCGGGCGCTCGTCTTATCAGATAAACCCTATGTCCGCAATAGCCGCCCCTATTTCGGTTTTACACTCGTTGGGCTGAGAATCCGGAGGTCAGAGCTATGTTCACTTACGTATGGCAAGAGGAGGTCCAGGGCACTCCTATGTTTCGCCTTTGGGAACGGCTCAAAAAGCTCTGTCATTTGTTGTTTGATTGGAGTAGAGTAGGCACCACTAACTTTTTGCGTAATATCAGAACCCTGCAAGCGGAGATTGAAAGGATAAAACAACAACATTCGATTAACTGGGATGCGATCCGTGATCTTGAGATAGAGTTGAATAGACAATGGGAAGCGAAAGAAGAGTATTTGCAACAAAAATCCCGGGTCCACTGGCTCAAGAAAGGTGATAAAAATACCTCGTACTTTCATATAGTAACGAGGGCTCGCCGAAAAAGGAACTTCGTGGCTGGGCTCCAAAACGAGATTGGTGAGTGGATTACTAATGAGAAAGGGAAGGCAAATTTTGCGACTGAATTCTATCGCCACCTCTTCACGTCTGAAACTCAGGTCCATAATATGAGAGAGCGGGTAGCTGCCCTGCCTATTGCCTAGAGTGTCACTCCGACAATGAATGAAGGCCTAACGGCTGAAGTTCTCCCGGAGGAAGTGCGTAAGACTGTTTTTTCAATGGGATCGAAACAAGCTCCGGGTTCGGATGGGTTTACCGAAAAATTCTTTAAAGCCTTCTGGGAGATTGTGGGACCATCGGTGATTGACGCTGTCTGTTCATTTATTAAAACGAGTAGGATGCTCCGTAGTTTCAATCATACATGGCTCACCTTAATTCCTAAAGTTGATAATGTTGAATCAATGAGGCAACTGCGACCAATCAGTCTATGCCAATTTGTCTACAAAATTATAACCAAAATTTGGGCTGAGAGGCTGTCTTGTGTCTTACCGAGCATTGTTTCTGAAGGACAAAATGCGTTTATTCGGGAGAGACAAATTGTGGAGAATATCCTCCTAGGACATGAGCTTATGCACTACTTAAAAATCAAAACACGTGGGAAGAAAGGGTACATGGCTCTAAAGGTTGACATGGAAAAGGCCTATGATAGAGTCGAGTGGCCTTTTCTCCTCACGGTTTTGGACAAACTGGGTTTTAACTCTGTCTGGATAGGGTGGGTACAGGAATGCCTCAGATCGGCGTCGTTTTCAGTCATGATGAATGGCACTCCGTCAGGCTATTTTACTCCCTCCAGGGGACTCCGTCAGGGGGATCCCCTCTCTCCTCTGTTGTTTGTCCTATGTACCGAAGGATTTGCGGCCCTCCTACGAAAGGCAATTTCAGAGAAGAAGCTGGCGGGGATTAAAGTCGCCCCTCGGGCTCCACGAATCACGTACCTGTTCTTTGCCGATGACTCGTATCTATTCCTACGCGGCACACTCCAAGAATGTGAAAATTAATGGACGTGTTGAACGAGTATGAGGAACTGAGTGCGCAAAGAGTAAATTTGGCGAAATTAGCGGTATGCTTCAGTAAGAATATTGCGCTGCCAGATCAGGGGTTCTAAGCTGCGATTATGGGGGTTGGGGCAGTGGGGTCCACGATAAATATATGGGTCTCCCGACCCTGATTGCTCGATCTAAGATGGAAACATTTCGGTATTTGGAAGAAAAATTATTGGAGCAACTCCAAGGATGGAAACAGAGAACTTTCTCTTGGGCAGCGAAGGAAACTCTGATAAAATCAATAGCCTTGGCATTACCACTGCATGTGATGTCCTGCTTCAAGTTGCCACTGTCTCTGTGCCGCCTTCTGGATAAGCATACCGCACGTTTTTGGTGGGGGGTAAATGAGAATAATTCAAAGGTGAGGTGGATGTCCTGGCGTGACCTGTGTAGAAGTAAGCATGATGGGGGGATGGGATTTCGCCGGTTTGAGCATTTTTAATCGGCTCTCTTAGCAAAGATTGGATGGCACATCCTCTGTGAACCTCAGTCACTTCTGGCCCAAGTTTATAAATAAAAGTATTTCCCGAATGGGCACTTCCTTAATGCTCAGGCTCGTTCTCGTCCTTCATGGAGCTGGCATAGTATCCTGTTTGGACGGCGCCTGTTAGAGATGGGCTTGCGTTGGCAAATTGGCAATGGTCGCTCAGCTTCCATGCTTCACTCTACTTGGGTTCCTCAAAATCAGTTTGAGCCCCTTCGATATAATCCTCAGGTTCTTCCGGCGGGGGGTGACCCTGCGGTCTCTGAGCTGACTTGTCCAGGGGAGGGACGTTGGTGTGACATGAAGCTTTGCCAATGGTTTGACCCAACTACTTGTCGCAATATAAAATCCATTCCACTCCCGAGGGGGAATGTTGAGGACAGACTCATTTGGCATGATACGACTGATGGAGAATTCTCAGTTAAATCGGCTTACCATTTGGCTGTCTCCCTTGATCGGAGAAGAGGAAAATAGAAGGCGACGGTTGACTGGATGGATCGGGCCAGTTGGATGCGACTTTGGAATGCCAACATTCCACCGAAATTAAAAGTGTTTGTTTGGCAGGTGTTTAACCGGATCCTCCCCACTACGGAAGCCCTAATCCATAGAAAGGTCCTGGTTCATCCCCGATGTACGGTGTGTTGGGATAGTTTCGAAACGATGGAACATCTGTTCCTGGATTGCCCGGTGGCACGAGCCCTTTGGGGGGCGGCAGGGCTGGAACATTTAGGGGAGGGTTTACCCCGTCACACTTTTCCGCTCTTCCTCAAAAAATTGGTGGCTTTAATTGATCAGCCTACACTGTTTCTGGCAGTAGTGGCCATCCTCTGGCGCATATGGAGATCTCGTAACTGGGCAGTTTTTGAAGGCAAACAGTATAGGGTCACAGCTTTGATGCGCCAGTTTACGTAGCAATATGAGGAATGGGTGAGGCTCCTGGTGGATATACCTCTTCAAGCCCGTGCCCCTGCAGCTCACTAGTCTGTCTAGGGGGATTCGTATGGGGTCATCTGTGGATGGGATGGGGCTACTCGGAGGGGATCTCACTCGGCGGGTGGAGTGGTGCTTATGTCTCAGAATCGGGGTGTCCTTTGGGCTGCGAGGATCCAATTCCCGGTCATTGATAACCCTCTCATAGTGGAATTACTTATCCTCCGAGAGGCGATTCTTTGGTGTCTGGGACAAGGCCTAATGAGAGCGAGGTTTGAAGGGGATGCCAAGGTAATCATCGAGAAAATCAGGCGGGCTGATACAAGAGACAATAGGGTGGGTGCTGTGCTAGAAGAAGTGACGCATTATTTTGCCAGCAACCCTGGGTTTAGTGTTCGATTTATAGGCCGGAGTAGCAATAGGGTAACCCACTTGGTGGCTAGAAAGGCCCTCTCTTTGTATCCGGCCATGAGCAGTGGCGGATCCAGGGGGTGGCCACCGCGGGCCACGGCCCAGCCCTTCCCTGGATCCGGAGCTAGTATAGTCCTTATAAGTTTATCGATTTTAGCCATTCGGCCCAGTATTAATTTATAATAAGATTGTGTGTAATTAGGAAATTGGTAAGATGAACATATTCAAATCACAACTCTAAATTTAGCTTGAAAATTCTAGCTCCAATGATTCTCATCTAAAGAAAAATAAAATGAAACCTAAAATTCTAAAACGTAAAAGACTAACAGAAATATGAGGTTTATTCCCTTAAGAAATTACTAGAGCAGCTGGTGAAAATAGGAATTGATACACAATATATATTGATTAGTCGATTGATTTGTCCAGTGTTGACATTGCTCGTTTCAACAACT